AAAAAAAAAAAAAAAAAAAAAAAAAAAGTGTGTTATCTCCAATACAACATTTAAAAAAATAAAAAAAAAATGTGCGCACCTAGCGCATATGCAGGCTGCAAATGTGCATCCTCTTGCGCACCCGTGCGCAGCGCACCAGGCATATGCGGCGCACCGCGCTCCACGCATCTAGATGTGTGGCGCGCCCGCGTGCACGAGCACATCGGGTCCGCGCACAACGTGACAATATCAGTGCGCCGCAAGTATGGTTAAAACACATGCACAAGGGTAGTTGAAACAAAAATCAAAATAGCGATTTACATAGGAGTAGAAAAATTAACAAAACAAGAGGGAATAAAACTCACAACACTAGAAAAAACAAGAATCAAAGCAGTGATTTACACCCAAGTGGAAGGTTGGACAAAACTTGAAGAAATAAATGACAAAACTCATGCACAAAGCTAGTTAAAGCAAAAACCAAAGTAACGATTTACATGGGAGCGGATAAAATTGACAAAAGAAGAGATAATGAAACTTACTACACTAGAAGAGGTAAGAATCAAAGTAACAATTTACACCCAATGAAAGACTGAACAAAATTTTGAAAAAAAAATGACAACACACATGAAGAAAGCTAGTTGAAGCAAAAACCAAAGTAATGATTTACATGAGAATTGAGAAATGAACGATATAAAGGCAATTTATAGTGAGGGAGCTAGTCTTCCTTTCCTTATGACAGAACACTTTCGTAGGCTAGCATCACTACCACCAGCCTCTATAGCTCCTTCTACTAGCCTAGAGTCTCCCCCTAATTCTCATACTGACATCGGCCCCCCTACTCTTACTCTGATTGAGCCTTGTGCTCTCTTGAGTTCATTTGGTCAGCATTTACCTGCCTCATGCCAATGTCTGTGCGGCAGACTGCTCCCCCAACTTAAAAAGGTTGGGCACAACACTCGGGTCAGCCCTTGGGTCTCTCCTAAGTCTCCAAGGTGGGCCAAGATACCCCCAAGGCCTCCTTTCACGCGTGAGTCTCTTCGGAAGCATCTGAGTCTTATTTTGGTCAAGTACATGTAGTTTGAGTGGTTGGCGCCAACTCGGACTACCTCTAGACCCTCTCCATGCCTCATTTTCAACTTTAAATGCAAACCCTTGGGTCCGAATAACCAAAGGGCAGCCTTGAATAAAAGAAAAGACATTTTGAACCTTTTCTTCAATTCTTTTCAAGTCATTCTCCAATTTGAGTACGCTGAGGTAGCTCCTTGTACTTCGATGTATTTTCTGTCTTGGATCTAATTAAGATCCAAGACCATAATTAATCTGAGCTACCCACAAGTGGTCCTTGCTTCAAATTTGAGCCCTACGACTCTCTTTTTCAATTTTTTGTGAATTGGGCCTCAGGTTTTTGCCAAATGCACTATCTCGTTTGTTTCTTTATTTTGTTTTTTTCTATTTTGGATTCTCAACTCATTTAGGAGTTGGGCGTTTGAGATGGTATCACAAAAACGATCATATTGTCTCTTCCACAGATCTGAATATGAAACTCAAATTTATGGCCCAAAAAAAAACAAAACGACCAGCTCTCTTTTGCTTTTTCTCTCATTTTTCCTTTTTGTAATTCAAGTTTCGACAAGATATTGCCCGAAGGGCCTTATCTCCTTACTCCGGATTGACCTCCACTAAATCCGGAGTGATGAGGTCACAGTAGGGACTAACAACTGACGAGTCCCTACTGTGTGAGTCATAACTGCTCGCTCATTATCCCTCTACCTTTTTCTCCCCCTTTTTCTCATTCGCCCTACCTTTTCTCTCCTTTTGTCTTTTCTTTTCTTTTATTTATGATGTGATAAGTGTCAATTTGTCAAATTGTTGTTGACACTTTTTCTACGTAACGGATCTTGATCTGGATTTAAATTTAGATAAAGTTGTTACCCGTTATTTCGTGGATTACAATAATGACACCCCCATATCCATGGAGGTGCCATTTGCCTCCGTTAATCTCAATTTGCGGCGTCCTTTGCTTCAATTTTTCCTTGGTAGCCTATTTGTCGCATATAGTCCCTTAGGCTTCATTTTCTCTTGCCTGGCTGGTCCGAGATATCTCGGATTGCAATGTAGCCCCCCCCCTTCTTCATTTCTTTTCTCCTTTACATCTGAAACCTTATTTCCTTTGCCCTATTAGTGCTTGCACTAGTAGTGCTTATATTTGAAGTGACGTCCCAGTGGCCATTTTTGTATAGTGGACAGTAGTGGAGAGAGACCCTCAATTATGCTCTCTGAACACTTTGAGACAGTCTGATCTATGTAAAGAAGATGCAATACTCATGCACCTGTGATGTACCCTGAGGAGAGTCTGATCTATGTCAAGAACATGCAATGCGAATGCAACTGTGATGTTCATCTTCCAACTCTGATAGCTGTGGTGTGTGTGGAACATTAAACCATAAGTAAGCAACTTGTCTTGACGGTTGACCTCCGTTTCGTCTTTGCTCCATTTCAAAGTCCTCCCTCCAGACGCCATTACAAAATTCACACAGACGATTTGCGCGCACATACATGCATGATTGGCCCCTCATTATTGAAGCATTCGCTGATATTTCCGGAGGAAAGGTTTTGAGAGAGAACTTTTCTGTCATTGAACTGGAAGAAGTTTCTCCATCCCTTCCATTTGTGACTGTGAGCTTTGTGACTGTGAGCGGATTCCAACAGCCAACAGGTTTGTGGAGTTTCACTGACGCCATGTTGAACATCTCTCAGTTCTGGATTTCTAAGTGTCCTGGGGCGAGGTCACCCACTACCAAAGAGGAGTGGATTTAAGGCCACGAATCTGGACGTGTTTGTGGCGAGGTGCAGAAAATCGCGATTCATCTGCTTTTCTGCATCTCTGCACGAAACACATCCAGATTCACGCCCTCAATCCAATCATCTTTGCTAGTGGGACCTCACCCCTGTAACCTTTGGGAATTCCTGAACAGTCTCTCTCTCTCTCTCGAGTGTGGGCCTCCCTGCCCCACTGATAAAGTATGCACTTGCCAGCGTGTCGCTTTCGCTAGTCAGTCAGCCGAATGGAACGCCCGGTCGTTATGGGCCTCGCTCCACTACTCTGGAAATGCACAAAAGACAAAAATCAGGCGGTGTATCTTTCCATGTTCTAGGAGAAGATTCACTCTCGTTTTGCACATTTCGAGAGTAGTGGAGCGACGCTTTATAGCTGTATTTCGGCCAATTCTCAGTCTACACAGCAATAACGACCGGTCGTTCAATCCGGGTGAAGACGATAGCCAGCCACCCGTTTTTATGTTCTCCACATGTCACGGTTCCTCTTGTCCATGTCTGATTTTCGTTCTTGTTGACGTGTCGCTCTGTAGCTGCTCCACGTGTCGTCCTTTAGCTGCTCCACGTGGCGTTCCCTCTCTTTTGTCCACGTGTCGCTCCCTCTTTCATGTCCGCGTGTCGTCCGCGCCTTACTCCTATCTCTTTTCCCACGTGCCCTTCCGGTGTCTTGTCCACGTTTCGTTCCCTCTCTTTTGTCCACGTGTCGTTCCCTGTCTCTTGTGCACGTGTCATTCGTCAGCGCTTATTTCGTCCACGCCGTATTCCTATCTCACGTCAATGTGTCGTTCCGCTCCTGTCCACGTGCCGTTCCGCTCTTTTCCACGTGTCATTCCCTTCCTCTCTTATTCACGTGTCATTCCCTCTTTCTTGTCCACCGTGTCATTCCCTCTCTCTTGTCCCGTTTCATTCCTTCCCGATCCCGATGTGGACGGCTAGAAAGGGCGTAGCAGGAATTACAGCAGTGGGGTTAGCTGGGAGGAGGAGGGTATCGACCACCATCGCCGAGCTCTCTCATCTTCGTCTTCGTCTTCCTCCTCCATATCTGTCGGACGGGCGAAGGAGCAGAATGGATTGGCCAGTGTATCACTCACTCGGGGGGGGATCCCGATGCACCACGTGTCAATCCCCACCACTTCCCGCTCTCCAGTGTCGTTCGTCCGCCACCATCAGCAGATGGCACTCTGCTGCTGAGCGAGAAAAGGGAACGAAGGGGAGAGGGAGGCCATTCTCTCTGTCATGCTGCAGAAGGGAGGGGGGTATTCTCTGTGTCCTTATCGGGACCCAACGTCACCATCCTCCTCCTCCTCCTCCTCCTCCTCCTCCTCCTCCTCCTCATCATCATCATTGTCAGAATCAGCGGCAACACTGTCATCACAGCGGCTATTATCATCACAGACATGACACGTGGCAGTGGCACTTGTCGTTACTCCAAGGACACAGTAGTTATAATTTCGCCAGCAGGGGTCGTAGCAAGGGGGGGGGGAAGGCCACACAAGTCACACAGCTGGGTTATGACATGGCTGGATTTGGATGCCCGGCATTGTGCGGCACAATGATGGGCTCCCGGAATGTCAGCAGCAGCAGCGTGACAACTGTCACAAGCGTCGTGCAGTCGCGCCGCCGCCGTTGTGCGACGCGATGTGCGACGACGACGACGACTTTGACGGCTATGGAAGGATCAGGTAATGTGGGACAACAAGAAGAAAGAACAGCGGAATCAAGGACTCGAAAAGCAGGAAGAGGAGAAAGAGCGGGAGGAGAAAGAGGAGGAGGAGAAAGAGGAGAAAGAGGAGGAGAAAGAGGAGAAGGAGGAGGAGGAGGAGGAGAAGGTAGCATTTCTAGTGGATATGGCGGTGCTATTTTTAGTAGTGAAAATGCTAGTGCTAGCAGAATGGGAGATGGAGAATCAGGTATTACAAATTCGATAGGAGAAGGAGAAAGAGGGGGGGGGGGGATTGGGGAAGAAGGAGAAGGAGAGGTAGAGAGAAGTAGGAGTGGGAGGATGAGAAGCCAGAGGAGGATGAAGATGGGTGCTTTTCAACATATCCCACGTGTCTCTCCGTCTCACGAAATACTAGGAACAGCACTTCGGCGAGCGAGAATGGTCCGCGCCACCAAGGGTATTAAGAATGCGGCTCACAGAGAGCGCAACAAGGCTGCTAAGCAGCTGGATCTGCTCACTAAAGAGTTGGCTGTCCCTTTGGGTGTTTACGTCAAGGGTTTTCCAATCCGAGAGCAGTTGCATGGGTTTGAACGCGCGCTTCTCGATCTCACCCTTGGTGATGACGTGTACCAATCGGTGTTATCTAGGGTGGATATACTGCGCAAGCGTATTCTTGACCTGGGGAAGAACTACGCATCATTGTGCGCGAAATCGACAGCAAAGAGAGAAGCAGAGACTCGACGAGACGAGGGTTTAAGCAGACTGGAAGAGCTGTTCAAGAGACACATGTACGAGGTAGAGCGACTGAAGGAAGTGGCCAAAAGTCTACGTGGCTTGCCTGTCGTGAAGCCACGTGTCCCCACTCTCTGCCTCGTTGGCGCACCCAACGTTGGCAAATCCTCTCTCGTCAGAGTGTTGTCCTCCGGCAAGCCCGAGGTTTGCAATTACCCATTTACCACAAGGGGCATATCGATGGGACATTTCTTTGTAGGTTCAAGGAGACATCAGGTCACAGACACTCCAGGACTCTTGTGTAGACCAGATGAGGAAAGAAACAATATGGAAAAACTCACTCTTGCTGCGATTGCCTATCTCCCGACAGCGGTCCTCTTCGTTCACGATCTGACGGGAGAGTGCGGTATGTCGCCAGCACAGCAGCTGTTAATCTACAAAGAGTTGAGGGCAAGATTCCCTGATCGCCCTTGGATCGACGTCATATCGAAGGCAGATCTTCTCCTTCCTCCACCTTCTCCACCACCACCTCCTTTTTCACCACCACCTCCTTTTTCTCCTCCTCCTCCTTTTTCTCCTCCTCCTCCTCCTCTTGAAATCGGCGAAGAACAAGGAAGAGGAAGAGGACTTGCTGATGATGGATTAGCGCGATTGTCCTCCTCCTCCTCCTCCTCCTCCTCCTCCTCCTCCTCCTCCGTCTCTTCCTCATCCTCATCTTCCTCTTCCTCCCCCTCCTCCTCCTCCTCCTCCTCCCTGTCTTCCTCTTCCTCCTCCTCCTCCTCCTTCTCCTCCTCCTTCCTGTCTTCCTTGTCCTCCTCCTCTTCCTCTTCCTCGTCCTTCCCCTCCTCCTCGCCCCCCTCCTCGGAAATATCGAAGGCAGAAGGAGGAAAAGGTGATGAACGTGACGGAGATGGAGGAGGGGTAATATCCTCCTCCTCCTCCTCCTCCTCCTCCTCCTCCTCTTTGACGAGGAACGGGTTGCTTTCCGCCCCCCAAGAGGTGCCTGAGCAAGAGGCAGATCCTCTTGCTGCCGCTCATCGTCGTCCTCCTCCTTCCCTTCCTTCTTCTTGGGCTCATTCCGTTGGAGGAGGAGGAGGAGGAGGAGTAAGGGGAGAGAGAGGAGGTGATTGTGCTGGATTGTCCTCCGTTGAAGAACAGTTAAAGACAGAGACAGATCCACCTGCTGGTCCTCTTTCCCCCGCATCTCATCTGATCTCGCCCCTGGTTGTGTCTGATGAGAGGCACTCCCATATGGCGGTAGGAGGAGGAGGAGGAGGAGGAGAAGGACGTGAAGAAGAAGTAGAGAAAAAAGGAGGAGGAGGAGGAGAACAAGGGTGTGCAATTTTGTCCTCCCCCTGGCCTGTTGAAGATGTCGAGACATACATCTCTCGAGGTCCCTTAGGTGCTATTAGGGTTTCAGTCTCAACGGGGGAGGGCATTGCCGAGCTCAAGGAGAAAGTGCAGTCCTTGCTGTCGAAAAGGAGTCTCAGGAGAATAGAACACCTAGACAGGGAAGGTGATGGAGTGGAGGGCGAGGGGGAGGAGGGGGAGGCGGAGGGGGAGGAGGAGGAGGGCCATGTCTACGGAAGGCATGAAGATGATTTTCATGATGGCGATGATGATTATGATGATGATGATAGTGATGATGGTGATGGTTTGGAGGAGGAGAGAGGCAGTGGAGCTGGAGGGGGAAGAAGGGCAGAAATGCGCGGGAAGACGGAGAAGAGAGGAGAGGAGGAGTTTCGTTACTACCCAGCCTGGCCGGGAATCAATTCTTGAGTGAATAAAAAATGAGGGGATTTAGGTGTTTTTTTTTTTTTTTTTTTTTTTTTTTTTTTT